GATTAGATTATTAGATGTTAGATCTTATTAGACTTAGATATTATGGTTTACTATAGTAGCCTTTGTGTAAAATGTAAATACTTTAAAATGTTCAAGTTTGTTCAGAATTTGTATGGTAATTTTAATCACAAAACCTAGACCACATCTTTTAAGGTGACGTTTTCACTAGATATTTAAAGGTATCCTTATGTGTTTATGATAATAAGTCGATTTGGCATCAAGTGTGGAAAAGGGTTATTCCAACAATTGTAAATGCAAAACAAGATGTAAAGCTACGCTTAATTTTAAATGTGTTTTGATCAACTGAAATCAATAACATTTTTATTTCTATTCATCCACATCGTTTAATACTAATATATCATTATAAGCCAAAATAATGATTGTAAACTTACAGGTTTTAAAAGGTCTTAAAACTGTTTGTTAAAGAGTTAAACATTAGGTAGTTTAAGAAATATACAAAAATTTATTACATTCCAGATTTGGTCATTTACTCTTACAAGCAAGGTGTATTGTTCGTTTTCTAGTTATTATATACAGCAGTACAATAATTATTCGTTTTACTACATCCATCCTATGTCAATTTTTATCAAATAAAACTCTTTCATTGTATTGAGACAAAATCTGGATTTTCTTCATTATTGTGTTCACCATTTCTAGAGTCGTCTACGTTTGTTGAAGTGTAACCATCATATAACCTGTGTTCAAATTAAACCTCCAATGCGAGTACCGTTCTCCTACTTATTTATAGTTGAATTATTGAGAATCCTACTGTCACCGGGTTCCGGCATTTATAATTTAACTTAAATTTGTAGGTAAGTAAGATTTGTGGCCGGGCCTTCTGGATAAAGATTCCTCTCCGAGCATTACTTTAACGCATGTTACGAATGGAGTCAGTCAGTGTAGATAGAATTTAAAACGTAAATTTATTCGTTATCTACTAAAGATATGCATGTATCTTTCTATGTATCTAGATACCTCGACAACGACAGTTTCGCTAGTCAACAACGATGAACCAAACAGTTAATCAACCCCAACCTGTCTACGTTCATCGACCAAGTCTTGATTATCACGATAACCCTGGTATAACGGTCAAGACGAAGACAAAATAATCCAACCAATAATAACACAAAGGTGAATGAAACCACGTGACTTCCATCACGTGATCAAGTCACGTTCTTGTTTCTTCATTCATAAAGGTACGTGCCTTCACGGCTCGTTGTGGCTTTGTCTTTGCCGCGCTTTTATTTAAATTCCCGCGCTAATCAACGCCTCAGCCGTCTAACCTCTAATATAGTTTTTCTCTCGTTCAATTACCTGTTTTTCCCGCGGTTTTGCCGACTTGTGACGGTTACACGGCGGTTTCGATTTTGGTTGTTGGTTTGGGAAAAATACTTTTTAAGTAAAAGTGTGGAATTGGTGTTGAAACGTGAAAATGCATTACATGGCGTTAAGTGCGATAGTGAAGGACTAGGGTAAAAACAACCTTGTTCTCTTCTTTTATATCAGCACTAAACATAGAACTACGATTGGCGGCATTCTTCTTTGCTTAAAATTCCCTTTAAAATGATCCCCATAACTTTACATTCAGTGATCCAAATAACTCTTCAGGGCGACGGCCCACAAGGAGTCGGAAGTAAATCTTGAATGGAAGCATAGGTTGATATGCACATCAAATTAAAGGTATTTATTAGTAGAATACAATGCCGCAAACCGTACTTCAAAAGGACCATCCGTTAAAAAATGACAGTTGTTTAAAGATTTAAAAAAGTGTTTAAATTTAAAGAAATTGGCTAATTTTGAAAATCTTTGAACATCTGCCTTTTTGCGCAGGATCAACCTTTTGAAGTGCGGTTTGCGGCATTGTTTTCAGTTGAAGTAGACCTTTAAAATGGTGTACAACTCAACATAAGCTGTCATTAAAGATATTCTTCTGACCCCCGACGGGCCGTCCCCCAAAGGTGATATCCGACCACCATGTATACAGAAAAGTAGCTTACAATTTCCAGTAACGGTATACCAAATGTGGTTGTGATATAGTTTGTCGTTTAAAAGTTATAAAGTCGTCCTAAGACTTAACGGTCACCCTGTATATTCGTGTTGATTGAAATTGAATCTATGACACACCCTCAAAACACAAAAGGCTGACTTTTGGCAAAAAATAACTGTCTTAATTAATCAAGGGGGCTTAGAGTGACGACAGACATTAACGTAGAAAGAAACCACCCAATTTGATACTGCAATTATAATTTAATTTTTAATTAATAGTAACATTGAACCTTGATATTGCAATAAGTTTGAAATTAAATCCTTGCAACGGTAGATATTGGATTTTCTATCCCAAAATAGATTGCTCTAAGGCCAACCAAATAACAAATAGGTCATTATTGGGTATACCATACGTATTCGCACATCCTATCAAAAAATAATAATGCTAATGTAAACAATTAGATTGTGTGTACTGTACATTTATTTATTAGACTATTCGTATTTAAATAGCTAAATGTAATTCCAATAAACAAATAGTTTTATAATTTAGACAAAATAGACTAAAATTTGCAGTTGGTCGATTATGATTTGCTTTGTTATTTCCAAATGCACCATATAATAACGCAAATATACTATATTATACTATATCTACAGGATTGTTTTAGTGGAAATAATGTTTTTTGGCATAGTGCATGATATAATAATTACAATTTACATTGTTCAATTCTAACATCGATAATAAATAACATCTATAAGGAAGGGCACGCTCATAATCTGTTTAAGTGTCCGTTATTGCCATCAATTGTCTCTATTGTTCTTGGATGTATAGATCTATCTCCATTGCAGACTCCCATTGAATGCCAGAGTTAAAAATAAAGTTATTCTCAAACCACGACTGCTGTTCGTACTGTATCAGGTTTAACATTACCTACTGTACTATGTTTTTAACCAAAATATGTTAGTTCGGTTTAGGCTATTTAAACAGTATTTTTATAGAGTTTTTCAAATAATTATTCTTATACAGTATCACGCTTTTGCAACATATAAAGAAACACTATTTTACTGTACCCCTCTATTCCTGAACAATTAATTTACCTTTGTTTCGTGAATTAAAAGTTTATCAGCCTAGCATGCAGTTATTTATCGATGTTTCTTGAATGTAATTAAGTATTTTCCTTGACTACATAGTTCAAACTATTAAGATTGTTCCAATGTTGTTGCATGGTTCTGGATTTTTATGCCCTTTAATTCATACATCGAAGTTCCCCCAAAGACCAACGTAATACATGAATGTTTTACAAGAACAGAGTAAAATTTAATTCATGTGTACTTTTTTAATTTTCAAAGGTGATTTAAAAGTTAGACATTTAAATAATCAAACAGGGTTAAAGGACAAAAAGACTTGCAATAAATCCATCATTCAGTTTATTAAACAATCTACGTAAATATGATAACTAACAATTCTACATTATTTAATTGTAACAAAATATAAAATTAATATGTAGATACTTAACTATTGTTTGTATATGGTATTTACAATATTTTATATTTATTTGTATTTGGTATAGTTGAAATAGCTAAAACAAAATGTTGTTAGTCCAACAATCATATTCTTACTAAGTTTAGTTAGAGAAAGTATACAATCATGAAGTTTGAAAAAACAAACAAAGAACAGTTCAGTTAACAAGCTATATGTTAAACAATTAACAATCCGAAGAATACTTAATGCAAACTATAGGTCTACGCTTAAGATTACCATAAAATGAAACATGATATTAACGAATATCTAAACCATAACTTAGACAAATACATAGCCAGTTGGGTTTTACAAGGTAGTTATGAATTAGTTAGTTAACAAAGAAGGAAACATAACCACAGAAAGCAAAAACCTAGAGATTCATACATTGTGCTTACGGGCGTCTAGATACACCCTGATATTAGTAGTCTCCATTAAGAATACAACCTCTAGATTTTCCTTTTCTACGAAATCGTTTCAAAATAAAATAACAGAACTATTGAGTTATGTTGGGTTTAGCTTTTAAATAACTTGGTTTGTGTGAAAATATTACACACATCTATAATCAGGATATACAATTTTATCATGACAAATTAACCTATATTAAAACCTTCGGGACAATGTACTTTCATTAGTATGTTTAAAAAGAAATAAATGTGTAATGCAACACAAAGAATGTGTCTTCTATTGCTTATGAAAAAAACATAAAGATCTGAATTAACCACACGCGTGTCAATTTAATTTTCCAAGCAAACTTAACCTGAACTTAACTAACAATAACAATAAAGATAAGGAATTGAGCAAATTCTTGCACCATGGAAGCATAAAACAATAACTACAACTAACACTCTACAGAACACAACTAAATTAACGGAAGCCATTTTTACAATAAAGCACTTGTTATCACAGAGTTCATCACACACAACACACAAGAACTACTTCAAACTACTCAAACTTTAGAATAACAAAAGAGAAAACAAAATAGAATCGGTTTTAAAGCACAAGTTTGCAATGGCCTTCCGCACCTATTTCCTCACTTAGCTATTTCATTGTGTTAGACTGGCGAAGTTCAGTGTTACAAAGTATGCATATTTGGAGTAATTTGAGGGGAATACTCAAATACCGAACTATAATAAATTCGGAGAATATTTTAAATGCAAAACACTTTTAAAATCGTTAAGCAGCATTTTGCTACAACGATAACATGCATTATGTGACCGTTGATTTGCTAGAGGATGAAAAACAATTAAGTGATTTTTGATCGCAATAACCCAAAAGTTAAAAATTAAAAAAAAAGTTAAAAATTAAGTTAAAATTTATGTGTACGAAGGAAACTGAAAAGCTATAACATAGTTTTGAGGATATTGATTGCATTTTTTACACATAAATTTGCACTTTTTCACATTAATTTGAACAGTATAAAACAAAATTTGTATAACCCACTTACTTCAAACTTTTCCCCCCTCATGCATATATAGTGATACACAAAAAAGTCATATTTTGCAACACCGCAAAAAACATGAGAAACAGTGGTGTATACGGAAAAATTAACCTGTAGTGTGCAGTTTGTAACAAAAATATAATATATTGAAAATAAAATATGAGATCATCGTGAAACTTAGGTGCGATTTTGTGCTCTACCAAGGACGCCACACTTCTTCTTCCCTCTCGTGGCTCTCGCCTGAGGGGGAGACCATGAGAAGACCATCCAAGGGTCGGGAGAGGTCCTGGACGCTCGGGGTGGACGACAGCCTCGGGGCGAGGTCTTCTGGAGGATCCTGAGGGGATATCGGAGGTGAGAAGCTTCTGGACCTAGGAGGGACCTGGACTGAGAGAGGCGAGGTGAGGCATTGTCCTAGGTGAGCGACGAGACGACGACCAACGTCCGCGTCCAGGCCTGGCAGAGAGAGCAGGAACCCGCACGCCTCACTGGCGCAGTGGCTGAAACCCGCCTGAGAAAACACCAGAGAGTTAAACAAGGGAGATTACAAATCCTACACTGCCTTATTGATTTGACAAATCGTACAGTTTTGGAATAACATGACTGAGTTCAAACGTCTGTTTTGATACAGTCTTCGTGTAGGTCAGCTAGGTAATGTTTCAGCTTGGGTTCAATTATTTTCAATGTTTATCAACGCAATAAACTTTTTTTAGGTATCAATGCAAGTTAAGGTATTTTAATAGGTATTATAAAGTTATGAAAGTGTTACCGAGGCATCAAGAGTTCAAGGTGTTACCAATATACTGCATTATATTAATTAATTAACTAGATCTCTAAAACTTAGAGAACTTAAGAGTAGTTTAAGTTTAATTCAAATAAGAGTAGTTCAAATGATTGTCAGGGCATTAATGTGTCATCTACCCACGCAACAAGGTGTTTATAAAGTACCAATCAACAATTGTGAAGGTATCAATGTGTTACCATGGTTTGAAGGTAGTATCAAGGTGATATGAAGTGTCTAGTTTGACCTACTGACCTGGAACCTATGCACATCCTCGGCCGCATCCCTGGGTCTTGTGATCCTGTGAAGATGCTTCACCGTCAACTCCAGAATGTCAGCTTTCTCCAGCTTGTTGATATTCTCTCCCTCCGCCTAGAATATCACAGAGGAATAAATCAATTACGCTTGTGTAGAACGTGTGTTTCATTGCACATAAGCATTGTGATGTTATTGAAAACATAAATACCCCTCTATAATCAACGGTGCCCCAACTGTCATTGCACTGTGTCTTTCAAGGAACTTTTTAGGATCCTTCCGAGTGTCAAGCACGGTAAGTTACATATCAAAGTAACAATAACTGAACGACAAAGCAACACAGCAAACGAAGAGATATGCAACAAAAACATCTAAGGTGAACCACATCAAATCTGATCTTGTTATGCAGAGAAGAATAAATCTTCTTACAAAGAGTATCCGACAAAGACACAATGGGTGTTTCGCTTTCATTTGTCACGTGGAACCAAGCCGGAATTGAAACTTCAGGCATGCAAATTGGAAATGTCTCCAAAACTTTGGAGGGGGGGGGGTAGATATATTGTACTCTTTATTATACTGCTATGACTATATTGTCAGTGAATGTACCTACAACACAGTACTAAGAGCTGGAATTATACGATCACATAAAACGTCAGTGTCAAAATCTATATACTTAGAGTTTGGGAAGTCCGAACCAAATAATTAATTCTGAACACTATTGTGGTCTTCAGAGTGAATCCTGAGAATCCTAATAAAATGTTTTTCTAACGTTTCCGACAATTTGCGGAT